CCGACGACAGCTGCAGTTGGTGGGGCGGCTGGCAGCGTACCTCATGCGGAGGATTCCTGCTCTCTGCGGGAGACGGAGGTGCCGCAGGATGGGGGGCGCCGCGGGGGATGGCGGCGGCGGCGCACCGGAGTGGGCGGTGGCACGATGGATTGGGATGGTCAGACGGCCGCACGGCGCCGTGAAGCAACGACGCGCGAGCGCGGAGTGGGGAGATGAGCTTCCGTGGGGATTTGATTTTTTTAGACGAGCGGCACATGCGGCAGTTAGTTGAGCGAGGCATCCGGCCTTCCGGACGACTTAATAGTAGCATTACCGAAAAAGAGTGAATTCAATTCAAATGGTTTCACACGCAAAGGGATTTTCAGTGCTGCATTTAAATTCAAGGAAATCTTAAAAGATGTAAATGATTTAATTTAACGCAGGTTTCTAGCTAAAAGGGTTTTTGAAAATGGTTTTGACGTGTAAACAGGCAAACAAGTTTTGGTTTATTGTAAATTTTAAAACTCCCAAAATTTTAGTGGTTTTTAGCATGAGAAAAAAAGCATAGGATGTTACGTGATGTGAATAATTTCACCGGAGGAATGAACATACAAAAATGTTTTGAGGACTATTCTCGTATTCACCTCAATCTACTTGTATTGGAATGGATCAGATTAAAACTTAAACTAATTTTACACTTCGATCCACCTCAACACACATGGATCGAAACGAATATACTAATATCAAACAAGCCTGAAATATACGTGACATGCTTATTACATGTATGTGATTTTTTTTTTTGTCCTTTGATTTATGATGAGTAAAAAACACCCAGGTGATTTTGAGCCTTTTGATCTCCTGGTTTGTAAGGACTTATGCTCCTACCCTTATAACTTTTTCTAAAAAGAACATTTTGGTTCGTGCAACAATTCCGACCCCTATAATAAATTTTGATTCTTCTTATTTCCTAAACTATTTTATCTCATAAGTATATTATAAGGATTAAAGTAGCGTAAAAGGCTCATAACTTATGAAATATTTATTAAAATGATTTTTAAGAGAAGCCGACAGGTTACCGTCGCCTGTCGGTCTATGCATTAAGAGCATCTCCCAGAGTTCTATTGATGCTAAATCCGATGAACACACTAGTAGTAAGGGCTTGATTACCTGGGCCACACAAGGCTGAGATATGCAATGGAGGAGGTCTAAGCGGTGAGGTCGGCTAGCAGAATGATTAGGCCAATTTGACACTCGCCCTTCGTCTGAAAAGCCCACAAACGCCTCCTAGCTAGACCCATCGGGGAGACACACAAAAACAGGGGTAGAATGTCAGAAAATCTCATCGAATGTCGGGAGAAGTGTTGGATAACAAGAGAAATGAAAAGGCTTGACGTAGAAGATAAAAAGTAAGATGGGTGGTTTTATTGATTGGATAGATGGATTCTGAATCGGTCATGATCCTCTTATGTAAATAGACTGAGTGGTCTTATTCCAGTAGGAAACTTATCCCACACACAATTTATAATTTTTTCACAAGATGGGAAGAGTTTCCAACTAGAAAAACTCGATTTGGCCATAACCTACCAAAATCGTTCATGACCGGTTTTTACGACTACCACCACATCCTGTCACGCATGCCGCTAAGCCAGCCCCGCATGCAACTGTTGTGCGTGCACATTCGCCCCCGTATGCAACTGCTGCGCCTGCACACCCACCCCCGCATGCAGGTGTGCCTATGCATGCAGTTGTGCTCCTTGTGCCTGCTGATGTCCACCTCGTCCTTGCTAATGCGCTTGCAGGTGGGGACCACCCACGCCCGCTTCGCTTGCCACGCTCATGGGGACTGCTGAGCTCGTGGGGACCGCCTCCGCATGCGTCCGCTTCCTGCGCCTGCTAATGTTGCAATATGAAGCACTTCTGCAACATACGTCTAAAATAGGTGAAACATTTGCAACATACACTTACAACATATGTGTATAGTAACTGTAACATATGCAATATCCAGATAAAACACTTGCAACATACGTTTGAAACACTTGAAACATTTTGAATAGACGCTTGCAACATATGTATATAGCCACTAAAACATATGCAACATCCAAATAAAACACTTGCAACATACATCTGAAACAGATGAAACATTTTGAATAGACGCTTGCAACATATGTATATAGCCACTGAAACATATGCAATATCTAAAAAAACACTTGCAACATACGTCTAAAACAGATTAAACATTTGAAATATTCACTTGCAACATACGTACATAGCCGTTGCAACATATGCAGCATCCAGATGAAACACATGAAACATACAAAAACACATGAAACCCCACGCCGAGTGGTGCCATGGAGTATGCGGGCCCGTGCTTCTCTCTCTCGGTCTTTCTCTCTCTAGTCACAGCACATGGACAGGCTCCCACACGCCACATGCACCCCACGCCGAGCGAGGCCGCATGGGCTCCCATGTGCTGCCCCGCGCCCCCACGCCGAACGAGTGGCCGCACGAGCTTCCATGTGCTGCCCCTAGAACGAGTGGCTGCACGAGCTCCCATACGCTGCCCCATGCCGCATACACCCCACGCTGAACGAGTGGCCGCACACGCTCCCATGCACTGCCCTGCAGAAAGGACCGGTGCGGGCCCCGCCTTACTGCAACTTTGCACACCACTTTTTTCTTGATCGTCGCGGGGGGGGGGGCGAGCAACCCTAGGAACTTAGCAAATGACTCTCTCTTTAAGTTTCCGGAAAAAAGAAAAAAAAGGCCCAACCAACTAGTGCTATTCTAGACGCTAAACGGTTAGTCATCCTCCATTTAGCGTTTAGATGGTTTGGACGACAACTAGACAATTTAAACAGGTTGCACTGTAGCAATAAATATACATATAAAATTTTAACTTTTATACAAATATTTAATTGTAATTTGAGATATGAACATAGTTACATAATTGGACATAGACAATACACCATTATACACATAGGCATACATATGGTCATATAGACATCGTTTAAATAACACCAAATTTTCACCTCCACATGCACAAGCTCACTTTCGCCCACCCAAAGATTCGTCTAGCACCCAAACGGCCAAACTTCAATGGTTTATCGCCTAAACTGTTGTTTAAATGATTGCTATTTTGGTGTTTACACCTGTTTAGTCACGTTTAATCCACTTTAACTATTTTTTGACCATTTAGACGTGTTTAGTGTTTAATTTAGTTACTAGGCCCTAAAGTGTGCGTGAACCAATTGTTTAGCATTTAAATGTGTGTAGATGACCATTTAGATGCGTTTAGACTAACACTGCCCCCAACGACTTGGTAAAACAACTCCTTAAAAATAAGAAATTGCTAAATCTCCCCTCCAACTCATAACTTTCTATGCTCGATATATCAGCTCGGGTTTTGCATTTTCTCCCATCGCCTGCCCCGTCACGCCCCCAATCCATGTTAATTTTGGCATGAGTTTGTGGTGTTCCCGACGACCCTGCCAGTGCGTCTTAACTCCTACTGTCGCCGCCCCTGAAAGATCATGGAGAATACAATTTCCTGGACTAACATGGTGAATGGTGAGAATGATAGCCTGTCTTTCGATAGATTGACAATCCAACCTAAGGTGCTCCCTTCTCATGTTGCTGCCTGCGGCTGCCTGTTGGCCTGGGGTGACGTCTGTTGCCTGGGTTGGGGCTGACGGCAGGGAGGGGCGGCGACGATTGATGGGGGGCTCACGCAAGATGGAGTGATAGGGATGCCGTGCGACCTGGAATTGCTGCACAAAACAATATGTGGGTCTTTTTTGTTTTTAGGAAGTTCTTAAGGGAAAGTATTGGAGAGGGGGGATAAGAACATCTCCAAGAGTTTCTAAAACCCACTCATCAGTGATGCAAATATACAAGAGAAAAAGAAAATATAAATGTTGTTAGGATGATTTAGAAATAGTTTGGGATTCTTGATTTAAAATTATCTTCTATATTTTAGGTCCGATATATTGAATTTTTTTGGAGAAACTAAACAAATATGCTCCCAACTTTTGTTAGCCACATGGAAAACTCATCGATTTACCAATTGCTTTGTGTTTTCCAAGTGGCTAAAGAAAAGTCTTGAATATATTTGTTGTGTTCCTCAACAGTTTCTAAAACCTCGCTCCTAAAACATAGAAGACAATTTTGCATTAGAAATCTCGAACTATTTCTAAATCACCCCAACCATTTTTATACTTTCTTTGTATCTTGTACATTTGTATGAGGAACTTGTCCTACTCTTTATTCTTCCCACATCCATCCACCTCCAGATTGGCATCGTCGACACGCGCACGCACTTTTTCACATGATTGATCGATTTTCCCAACCCTAGAAAGATTGGGATTTGGAAACTCTTGGAGATGCTTTATTGCTACTTGTTTTGTTAATAACTTGTCACTGGTTTAGCAAGTAAATTATACTGAAGTTCATGAGGTGATGTAACTATTAAAAGCTACTAGAGGAAGATAAAATAAAGTTCCCTATTTATTTTGTTCACTTGGTATGATAATTAATTTACCAAGTGATTTTAAGGAGGTTTTGGGGACGTATGTATGTATATATATAGAGAGAGAGAGATCGAGAGAGAGATTCGGTCAAATTTAGTTTTGACATTGCTACGTCGTGCTTGCCAAAAAAAAAAAGATGGCATGTCCTTGAGGTCGGGTACATGCAATGTAAGATCGGAGCTTTTACGTACATTCTTGTGTCAAAAAACAAACACAATGTCACTCGATGTCTGAAGGACAAATATAATAATGAAGAAATAAACCAGAAGAAGGAAAGTACTATGATACAACCGGAAGGTACGAGGAGTTTGCTCAATCTGCTACTGTCGACGAGCAGAGCAGCAGCCCAATGCATGCAAATAATGGAAATGCATGCGTAGGTGGTGCTAGTTCATTACAAACAATGGATGGCAATTACGTGATGGGCAATGGAAGGACGAGAGAAGAAACTAATTTAATTAAAGAGCTGGATGGATGGAGGTGAGAAGTCAGAAGTCAGAAGCATGCGAGCTCCTTGAGGCAGCCCGTGGCGGTGCCCTTGGCGTTTTTGCATACGGCCATGGTCTTGTTGTTGGTGCCACTGTACTCGACCTTGACGTTATCCATGGTGACGCCGGTGCAGGGGATCTTGTCGGAGCAGAGCAGGCTGACGGCCTCGGGGCTGGAGGAGGTGCCGGTGACGTTCTTGAAGGAGACGTCCTTGACGGTGACCTTGGAGGCGCCGCTGGCGGTGCAGATCTTGTTGGGGCAGTACTTCATGTCAATGATGATGGGGTTGGCGGAGTCCTCCATCTTGATGTTCTCGTAGTGGATCTTGGAGGCGGTGAGCACGGAGGCGGCGTCCTCGTACGCCTTGATCCGGAGGCCGTTGCTCGTCTTCTTGAGCGTGCAGTCCTTGACGTTGATGTCCGTGACGTCCTTCTCGTCCTTGTACCGCCCCAGGCTGCCGATGCTGATGCCGTGGCCGGGGCCGCAGGTGACGCCGGTGATGTTCACCTTGCTGGTCCCGGGGCCGATGGAGATGCAGTCGTCGCCGACGCCGATGACGGTGTTGACGATGGTGACCCCGGACGAGTCGCCCATGTGGATGCCGTCCGTGTTGGGGCTGTCCCCGGGCGCCGTCACCGTCACGTCCTTGATCAGCATGTCCTTGCACTGGAACACGTTCATGTGGAAGAACTTGGAGTTGAGCAGCGTGATCCCGGACACCTCCCCGTTGTTCACGTAGTCCAGCACCAGCGAGTTGGGCAGGATCTTGCAGTCGTACTTCTTGGCGCACGAGTTCTTGCTCCACACGGCGGGGCCCTGCCCGTCGAGCGTTCCCTTGCCGGTGATCACCAGGTTGTCCACGCGCAGGATCTCGATCCAGTTACCCTTGTACTGGCTCAGGTCCGTGGTCGCCAGCAGATTGCCGTCCACCTGGATGGTCACGTCGCCCTTGCACGGGCCGGTGAAGTTGAGCGGGCCGACGAGGTAGTCGCCCTTGGGGATGAGGATCGTCTGCTCCCGGTGCCGCCGCACGCCGACGTCCACGCCTCCTGCACAGCCTTCGTGCTGTCCGTCTTGCCGTTGCCGGAGGCGCCCAGCTTGGTGATGTCGAACGACCCGCCGGGCCCGGACGCTGCTTTCGCGTCGCCGCCCTCCTTGGCAGGAGCGGAGGAGCTCTCCTTCGTGTCCTTCCCAGCGTGCGCGGCGCAGACGAGCGCCAGGAGGAACAAGGCTCTCATCGCATTGTCTGTGCACGCCATTTTATTTGTCGTGATATGATGCTTTGTGTCACTCGTTGCCTGGGCACTTGGAGCTATTTATACCTCGGTGTTTGCTAAAGGGATTCGTCTGCTATGTTTATGGCATGGTCACCTTTGCCTCTGCTATCTTTAGAGCAGGCTTCCCGTCCTCAAGCTCTTCATGCACTGTTTGGACCCTTCAAGTGGAACCATTGCACTGCCGAGAGCGTAAATAAATTCAATAGCAAAACAAAGAACCAACAATGCCAACATTTAAACCCTATTTACATGTTGTACCATACCTTTTCGTTACGAAGTAGAGCTACGCTTTGTTTACATTTGGCTTTTCTAGAGGAGCCAAAACGTCTTGTGATTTAGAATGGACGGAGTAAATAACAATACTCATAAAGAAGAAAGGAACAATAATTTGATTTACACAACGGGTGCCAGCAAATAAGTGCACAAATCGGATAAGCCCGAGGCCAATCTACCAGCGTCCTATTACATGCGATGGTTAACGCAGCTAATCAGCAAACCTTCGCTGAATTAGAATCTAGGCGTCTAGCGAATCATCATGTAATGTCACAACTTTTCCTTATTTAGAAAAATTGGTTCTACAACTTTTCAATTCTAAAAGTTACTAAGCTACACACATAATGTCACAGAACCGACCAATTTATAAGAGCACAAGTACAAAAACAATCGCCGAAACGATCAAATTCTCGAACTTGAGCCCATATAAACCCGGTAGTCAACTGAAATCTCGAAGGATTTCAAACCAACTTGCATACAACCAAGATCACAGTAATTCAACATAACATATCGTACGTTACAACATTTCGCAGACGTTCGCAAATAGATTACATCATCACAGAGTCATCGTTATTACAAAACAAGTCTTGTAAAACATGCGGAAGCAAATAATTTAACTTACACACCTGAGTTCAATATACACATACTGGTTCGCTGATCACAGCCCACAAAAGCATTCAGATAAGAGAACAGAGATCATGCCCATGATCTAGTCTTCATCACCCGCCGGGTGAAGACAATACTTACAGAATCCCTGATATAGAAGGTCATCTGCAACAAGAGGGAATAAACCCTGAGTACGGGAATGTACTCAGCTAGACTTACCTGTCGAAAACCAAACAAATGACACCAAGGATTATGCATATCTTAATGTAGTGGATCTGGCTGACACTTTCTTTTTGCAGAAAAGCATAAGTAATAATGATCAACTCTTAGCCTGAACTAGCAGTGACTTTTTTAGCCATTAACCTGTCATCTATATTAGCACCTGTATTAAGCAATCATTTTATTAGGGTGCAAACATTAATAACCATATCAGGTATTCATTGTGGCAACCTTATCATCATCATCCATTTAACCATATCGTTAAATTAATTGAATCTATGTTGCCGCTGCTCAGTCAAGTTCTCACTATCCGAGAGAGACGGCGATTCGAATCGATTCCTATCCAGCTGGAGGGGTATTCCTAAACACAAACCCTGCTTCCCCCGTCGGAGTCGCAAACAAGTCACCTTTGGTACGATTCAGGAGTCGCGAGTCCGAACAGATCGACATTCTTAGAGAACCACTCTGTCAAGGTTGTTCGGGACTCTAACCCGCCTTGGACTTATGCCAATGGCTCTCCGCATATCCTTACTACCTCCAGAATGCCGCCACTGCTCACGTCCCCGACCTGAGTCGAGCTATTAGGCTTCGCAGTCGGAACGACTTATCCGGCCAGCTAAGTGTTAGGCTGCGTTTAACATGACATGAGGACGTACAGCGTATCGGTCCTTAAACGACTCAGACGGGGTCACTATGTTCAAACCTACACAAGACCCCGCCCGGTCTTAATTCATTATTCACATGGTTCTTTTCCACGATAGCAAATATAGCCAACCGTGATCCACCTCATCCTAAAGCTCGCAGGTGACAGGAAATCACCTGACTTCTACCGCACTAAGCATGGCTAAGCATTTAACCCATTCCTGAACTTAAATAGGATTCCAGTGCGATATCTGGACAAGGAAGGATATATAATGCAGCAATTGGTTCCAACCAATTCCTATACTTAATGCATCATCAACAATAAAAGATACTCAATGTATTTGTAAAAACATGGGAGGCTTAATATGCTCCGGGGCTTGCCTTTCAGAAACGAGGAAGGCTGGTGGTCAGGGCACTCGGACAATTCCTCCGCGGTGACTGCTTCGTCGGCTTCCTGCACCTTGGGTTTCTCCTCCTGGTTGGCTCCCTCGAACTCCAGCAACGTCACTCTCTCCGGCACACCTATTGCATGAATGCGCAAGATAAATATCATGGATGCACATGAACGAATGTCAGGGATGCTTGGGAAATGCACATGTTCGTTGTAGTTTGTATATTCCAACTTAAGCCCTATTCAAATCACTTTACTTACCAAGTTTATACAACCTGTTGTATAATTGCTCATCTTCAGTTAATGACCTAGCACCTGCACCTAAGCACATTCTCAAGTTAGGCTAACCCCTAAACAATCAACGAGAACATTGCAACAACATACACTCAAGCATTTGTATTTCAGCAAAATGAAGACTATGTAGCGGTACAGTAAACTAGCCATAACTGGAGATTTATAAATCCAAATGACTTGCAACAAGACAATATGAAAAGCTTATGAAATTGTCTACAATTCATTTTTAGACCTCAAAGCATGATTCAACACTTTACCAAGTTGAATTCATAAATCAACAGAACTATGTCCTCACAAGGCAGAGAGTAAGCAAAACTGGAACCTAACTTTAAACAGTTGTAGTTTCTAAACTACTGGGCCAAATGCCCTCAAATTTTTACAGGAGCTAGATACATAAATTATCTACAACGTTTGTATTCATCACATTCACAGCAAATCAAAATATCATGGGGAACTTTCCAAAGTTCCCAGATCTGTCCAGAAGGACATACTGCAAACGAATAATTATTAACTTATGATATAAACACATGATTGGACAAAACCAACTTTACTACCTCATTACTCATATCACAAGAACACCAGAAAGTAGGGTGTTCATCCCCAAAACATTTCTTTTAATACCTTTCTTAATTTATTTAATTAATTAGAGGAAATAGTAAACATATATGAAAACTACACCATTAAATCTACAAAAATTATAGTAGACCCTACATGCCCTAAGTAGACTACCATAACAATTTCACACCATTTGAGTAAGTATAACAACCTACACAAAAATGGTAAGGCAGAATGGCTTAAAATGGCATAATTAGGAAACCTTAGTGAAAAGTGTTAAACAACAGATTTCATATTTTTCCTAGCATCCTTAAGGTACTAAGATACTACCTATCAAGTTTCATGGTCATAGGATTCCTAGATAATTTACAAAAATTCACACAAGTATCCACCAATGATAAAAGGAAAATCTATAACTCAAAAACTACACATGCAATGACTCTCAAATTTTAACCAGAGCTTCTACTAAGCAATACTAGCTTACCCACAAAATTTCACAATTTTTGGATCACATAAACTCAAGATATGATTTAAACAAGTTTGCATGCATTAAAAAACACATTTCAAGTTCCTATTTAATTCACCCAAAATTTCTACATAATGTGCTCAAGACATATTTTTCTTAAATACTAGACCTCACAGTGAGTCTAACAAAATTTGAATCATAGTATTTGGATCTACACATTTGGAGTTATAAAATTTACAAAATAGCACTAAAACTGGAATTATTTGAACTAGCCTCTCAAACTCAGTCACTGACAAGCGGGGCCCTCGGGTCAGACGACCCCACCGGTCAGCGAGAGGAAACAGAGGAGGCAGCGTTCGATGGCGCGGCGGTGGTCTAGCTCACCGACGGCGAGGACTCCGGCGACACCAAGACTACCTACATGATCTACGCGATGAGAGGAACCGATTGGTGCAAGTGGCGCGACCTAAGACCTAGCGCATGTGGCTTGTCGCCAGTGATGGCGGCACGGCAAAGCTCCGGCGTGGTGTACTAACGACGGCGAGCCCTTGCTACCTCATCCGAGCTCGGTATGAGCTCCACGAGGTCACTACGGAGCTGCCCAAGCCGAGAGAGGAGGACAAGGAGGTCTCGGTGGTGGGTGGCCGCGGTGAGCTCCGCTCCGGCGAGACGCGGCCACAGAGACGGCGGCGGAAAAATGGCCAATGGCCCTCACCTACGGCACGGATGGCTCGGCTAGGCGGTCGATGAGGTACAGGAGGACACGGCGGAGCTGTGGGCGAGCTGGCCGACACGTTTTTGCAGCGGCGAATGAGCTAGGCGACGGCGCGGCTTGCTCGCCAATGGCGAAGCGGCTGAGCTCTGTTGTTGCTCGTGGTGGAGGCGATGGAAATGAGAATTGAGCTGTTGAACTAGTCGGGCAGGCGCGTGGGCGGGTTCATGTTGTGGCCTGCAGCGCCAGGACTGCCGTGGCGCGTGGCTGCGCGGTCAGGCGGCCGGTGACGAGTGTCCTCCACGCGGCCGTCGATTTCTGAAATCGGTCAGACATTGTAGCTCGCCTTTCAGTTAACCTTCGACGCCTGACAGCGATGATTGATGATCATGAAACTCTAAATCCATTGATCATCAGCGAAAACAGTCAAGATACAAATTGTAGCCCTAAGTACCAGCTACACTTTATGTTAAATGACCAAGACCTAATTCTCAATGGATCATGAGTTGTATCAAGCCAAAGTTGAGGTCATGAAACTGAAACTCAGTTACAACACTTAGAAATTTTCAGAGTTTCTAAATAGATCTCAAAACTGACTTATGGGCCATTTTTTAGCATGTTCTGCACATTTTCATGAATTGACTTCTAAACAAAGTTTGTTCCTTATAAAATTTGCTACAACTTTGCTTTAGGTTGCTCAGACATGCAAACATTCTAAGCTACACTTTTTAAACAGTCAAACTCAGAAGCTCTAGGGGTCCAAATTGGTCAAACCATGACTTGGAAACCTAATTTGGCAAAATGATCAACATGAACATTGTTCC